CTCGGTGCTCAGGACCGAGGTGTTTTCCGGAGCCCAGGATCTAGGGCCTGGAGGTTTTGGGTTTGAGATTTCCCCCAACAGCGTTAAACACAGCACACTCCCAAGACCTGAGCCACATGCGCCTGAACAAATTTGGGGTTTGGCATCGGCTGGGCAGACAGATAGCATCCCAGTGCAGTCACAACAGGGACTGCAGAATCATCCTAAATCCTGAGGCCATATACCCCTCCAAAACCCAGCTTGGTGTCAATAGGAAATGCGTCCAGCCAGTTTTCCGGTCGGCAAAGCCGCCAAGTGCCAGTTTGGAGTAGGTGAATTCACTGCTTTGGAGAGTGCATGAGGAAAGCATGATGCAGTTAGGCACACTGGACAGGGATGGACGGGATGATCACCGGATGATCCTATGTCGCGATTGGAATTTGGACCATTCCTTCAGTGCATTGTTCCTGGGTAGCAAATCTTCAGGGTCTACATCCTCTGTCCCACACCCGCAACCGCAAGTGCGGATGTGCAGCACATTCTGACGGGCTGCGCGAGCGGTATGTTCGGGAATTTCTCCAAGCATCAAGAAACATAGAGCATGTGCAGTGGGAAGAGAAGGATTCCAATCATGATTCTTTAGTCTAAGCCATCTAGAATCTAGAGGTAATGTCCACCGGAGAACTATAGGATCCTTACGGCGAGATCAATTCGCGATCTTGGGAAATTCACATCTCATCACCGCAGAACGTAGAGGCCACGGGCGCCCGCGGGTTTTTTGCTTCAGGATCCGAAAAACGGTTTCAATTATCGCGGCTCTGGTGAATGAATGGAGACAATCTTCTTTTAGTTAAAGCCACGTATTGGTGACACCGCTGTTTACAGCCCTAAACCCCTAAACCCTAAACCCTATATCGTGTTCTGGCAGCTTGCTGTCGAAGTTCTAGATCCCAGAGTCGTCGACTCTGCGAGTGCTTGACTTGAGCGAGTCGATGTTTGCTTCAGTTGCCGGTGATATAGGAGCCTGATGAAGACACCTTGGGTCTTTCGGGTTCCTTATATGAATCCCCCTATTTTGGGGTTATAGGACTTATAGGACCAGGGTTTCGTAATCAGGTTCCTACATTAGGACAGCGTGCGGGCATGGCGGCCTGGAGGCACCTTGATGCAAGCCATCTAAGACGACGACCGATAGGGGAAAGACATGTCGTAAGCATTCGCGACTTTCCTGTGGCTTCAAGAGGGCTGAATAGGCATGTAGCTTGCTGGCATGTGTTACAACTGAGCTTGAGGGGTGAGGCCCGGGCACACAGCCCAGTACCATTCCTAAACCATTTCGGCCTAGGTACCGCGGCCCTTGGAACTCAATGGTTGATAAGCATGATAAGCCAACACAGACGGGACTCCGATTCTTCAACATTGCTTATCAAGAAGCCACGGGCAACTGTAATAGACCATATTGTACGGAGGTTCAGGTAGAGACGGCAGACGAGGGAGGTGACTACGACAAGAAGTCAACAACCCTGAACACCAAACCGCTGTTTTTATGCTTTGGTATGACCTATGAATTCCTGTCTAAACCAAAAAATTTGGCACACTTTCGCTTACCTTGTTTTCTTATTTAGGATCCTTTCCATCAAGTAGGTTTCCAAGGAAGGTACTGCATTCTAGGGTCCAGCTATCCTCTGAGGCCCATGCTTTAAACCCCAGCGGCTTCGGATGCACAAGGCGCTGCACGCTGCTCTCGCCCTGCAGGCACCAGGTTACGGCTTGAGGCGATGTGCGAAAAGCTGTGACGGGTCAAAAATGAACCTACATGTTGTATATCCACAGCACTACCAGTACGAAATCATGCGGCTATGTGTATGGCGAGGATGCTACTTCTCCTGCTGCTTCTCCTGCTGCCTCTCCTGCCCCTGCCCCTCCTGGAACTGCTACTCTACTGCTACTGCTGGCGCTGCCGCTGCCACTGGCAGTAGCTGCTGCTGGTGCTGCTAGTAGTAGCAGTAGCAGTAGTAGTAGCAGTAGTAGTAGTAGTAGGAGTCGGAGTAGGAGTAGGAGTAGGAGTAGGAGTAGAGGTAGAGGTAGAGGTAGAGTAGAGTAGCAGCAGCGGCGGCAGCAGCAGCAGCGTTTTCAAGCCCTGAAACAGTGGCCAGTTGGCCTACTAGTCAAGTAGGCCTTCCTCTAAAAGTCTAAGCCAGTAAGACAGAAAGCGTAATGATATCCCTAAACCTTGAAGAAGTGGCCCGCCGTCGCCTCCATGGGAGTCTGTGTCATTCCGAGGTGCTTAGACTCTTGCTGCAACCATCTTCGGGTGCCAAGATGTGTTGTTCACGAAAACTTGCCGAGACGTACCGTGCTTTCTTGGACCTGGATTAGGGTTCAGAGTTTAGGCTTTTCCACGAAGCACTGAAATGAGTGTTTTAAGAATCTAGAGTTTAGGGGTTGAAGGGAGGGTTTGCGAAAGCGGCGAAGACTCGTCTTCGGGGGCACCCACGCTGCAGGGGCAGGTGAGCATGGGAATCCAGGCCTCTTGATGTTGGCACCTTGTCGATTTGTACATGAAGTTGTTTTATGGCCGTAAGTAAGGTTTTACACTGATGTTGTGGGGTTGCACGTCCCCCAGCCGTACCCGTTCACCCCGTAAGCTTTCTTTTATGCCTTGGTGAGTGTATCTGGGCCTTTTTCGGAAGACTCCTGGTGGGCTTCCAAAATCTTTTCGCGCTAACCCCCACTCCGAAACCCTAAACCCGAAACCCACATCCCCGTGTGGAACGTTCGTAATTCCATCGATTCTCCTTGAATCCATGTATTCTCCTCCTAGTCTCCTCAAAGGATCCTTATACAGCCGTTATGAAAGCTAACAGCTAAATCCTAAACCCTAATCCTAAACCCTAAACCTTCTCATGCTCAGCCCGTCCCCCCAAACAGTTTTGGCGACACCCGGTACCAGAAGGGCCGGGTGCAAAGAGACGCTGCTATCCCTGCGGAAGAGGGCCCTGGCGTCTACCGGGTTCTTGCACTTAAGGAATTACGTTTGGTATTAAATTAGGGTTTAGGGTTTAGGGGATTTAGGGGTGGTATTAAATTTAGACTTCAGAGGTTAGGGCCAGGCCAAGCATATATGATCTCTAGCAGACTCGGAACAGGGCAGCCGAAGATGATGTTCCTGAGCAAGAACCCAGTACATTCGAGGGGAGCCGGGCTTAGGGTTAAGGCCCCGGGCTGGGACGGTATACTGACTTAGTAAGTAAGGTTTAGGGTTCCTTATGGTTCTATAATAGGGTTCCTTAAAGGGATCTATAGGGCTTCTTCTACAATGGGGATCATGGGACTTAGTAGGTATAAATACTTAGACCCCCCAACTACTCTCTAAATATACCTTGAATACCCACTATGAAGGAGCATGAGGGCTCCATGACAGGGCACATTGGGGGGGGGGGGGTCCTGGTAGGTGTAGGGGTTTACTTCAGGCTCTTGGGCGGGTCGAGGAATCAGCCAAAGGCCCTATACCTAAATCGTAAGGGTTTAAGTTTAGGGTTTATGGTTTAGGGTGCCAATAGAAATATGGGTCTTAGGTTTGGGGTTTAGGGCTTGGGTGGTTTGCTGGCACGGTCCGTCCCTAAACCCTTTACCCCTGACGCTTCACAAGCATGACATGGTGCTGCACAGTTCGAGTGTACAGAGCGATGATGGTGTGGCGCTTCGCCCGGATGTCAAAACAAGCTTCACAGTCGATACTCAAAGAGCCCAGCACCGCTTAGGTTCAGGATGTTCATCTTTGTGATATTTATTTTTGGGGCTTTGACCTCAGGATTTAACTTACGGAAGCTTAAAAAGCGTAGTGGGCTGGCTCGGTACTCCAGCGTGAGGGTCTTCCGCGGTTGTAGGATTTTGTGATATTAATGGGTGGTTCTGGATTTAGATACAGGGAAGGGGCTACTGCACCTGAATACTCAGCAAAGTGTTCTCCTGCGAAATTGCTACATTACAAGGTGTAAGTATCACATTCCCTCGGCCCTGATGGATAGTATTGGTGGCTTAGGGGTTTCGGGTTCAGGGTTTAGGGGTTTAGGGTTTAGGTTTAGGGGTTTAGGGTTTAGGGGTTTAGGGTTTAGGGGATTTAGCGTTTAGGGTTTAGTGTAGGAGTTTAGGGTTTAGGGTGAGTTGCTTGCAGAAGATGTATACGGGTTCGCCGGCAGAAAATGCAACTTTTGAGATCCTACACCCTAAATCCTAAACCCTAAACCCTAAATCCTAAACCCTAAAACCTAAGTCCGAAACCCTAAACCCTAAATCCTAAACCCCAAACCCTAAGTCCGAAACCCTAAACCCTAAGTTGGTGCTACAATGTGACAGAAAACCCCATGGGAGCCAGCCACTGTCAGGCTCCAGGCCAGAAAACCGCAGTCCGGACTTGGTGAGTCCTAGACACTAGACCTGGCAAACCCTCCCAGAACTTCCAAAATCCCTTGATTAAGGAATATTCCTTAAATCATATTAGGGACCCTACTATAATTGAAGGTGTATTCCTGAATTAAGGGATTTTGGAAGGTCTGGCTACTATACTATGCTTTGCGTACGGCCCCCATACAGTAAGAGTCTATAATGGGGCTACTATTGCGGTCCTAATAGATCTACATTATGAATATTATTCAACTATTACTGAGTGGGGGGCCGTACCTACTTGACCATACTCCCTATACGACCCAAAAGCCTTGGACCTACAATCCCATCAGACCTCCCGTGCCTTCCACAAGGAAGTTATGTTAAGTTGCCATCAGAATAGGGCTGCATAGTAAGGAGTAGCGCTTCCTCATTATGGATTCTTAACCCTAAACCCCTGAACCCTAAACCCCTAAACCCTTAAACCCTAAACCCTAAACCCTTAAACCCTAATCCCCTAAACCCTAAACCCCTAAACCCTAAACCCTAAACTAAACCCCTAAACCCTAAACTCCTAAACCCTAAACCCTAAACCCTAAACTAAGTAAGATTCCTTGAGACCCCAGCTTGCCGAGGCCCAAATCCTGAGGCATCTCGTCGAGTCCAACAAGTTTCAACTCAGACGCTCGCCTGTGGTTTGGGGGTTTAGGGGTTAAGGGTTTAGGGTTCAGGAGTTTAGGGGTTTAGGGTTTAGGGGTTTAGGGTTTAGGGTTTAAGGTTTCGGTTCGGTATGTTGGAGTTTGGGATGTGGGGGCGTTTGGGGTTTAGGCTCTTGGGTTTAGTGCTGTTTAGGGTTTTAAGTATAGGGCATAAGTTGTTGTTTAGGGTTTTGGGCTTGGGATGGTTTGGGGTTTAGGGTTCGGGGGTGAAAGCTTAGGGGTGTAAATGGCTTCAGGGCCTGGAGGTTTAGGGCTTAGGGTTTAGGGTTTAGGGGTTACGGTGGGTGTAGGGTGTAGGAGTTTAGGGGTTTAGGGTTAAGGGTTTAGGGGTTTAGGGCTCAGGGTTTAGGGGTTGTGGTGGGTTTAGGGTTTAGGGTTTAGGGGTTACGGTGGGTTTAGGGTTTAGGGTTTAGGGGTTGTGGTGGGCTTAGGGTCCAAGCAACTTTCTGGAACCTCCAAATCAGGTACTCCCTTTATGGGAGGTGGGCTGGTTCTTATGGGAGATTCGGGCAATTAGCTCTTCCGTTGCTGAGCGTCCATTATCTCGTCATGCGTTTGATACTTTTTCTTATGGGGGAGAGAGAAGAGGAGAGCCATGGAAGAGCCATGGGAGAGCCATCGGAGAGCCATGGGAGAGCTATGGGAGAGCTATGGGAGAGCCATGGGAGAGCCATGGGAGAGCTATGGGAGAGCCATGGGAGAGCCATGGGAGAGCCATGGGAGAGCCATGGGAGAGCTATCAGAGAGCTATGTGAAGCCAGCTTCTCATCTCACATACGAGCCCTGCAACAAGCCCATCGTCTTACATGCGAGTCCGGAACGAGAACCCTCGCAGGCCTATCAACTTCCATAGGCAACCTACCATCGTAGAACGGAGTTCTGCCAACGGCTTCAAAATATCTCCCATATCACTCCCATAAGGATAGGTAAAGCATAGTCCTATAGAAGCAGTATGGGAGAGCTATGGGAGCGGTATGGAAGAAACCCAGAAAGGGAATACCCGAATTGCAGTTACCAGAAAAGTCCCCCGATAGGGTTTAGGGTTTAAGTAGTCGTGTTTTTGCACGGGAAGGGGGAAGGTGGAAAGCGAGGGCTCGGGGTCTTTTGCCTTAGTAACTTAGTACAGGCGCCGAATTATCAGTCATGTGACGACCTCTTGGGGTTCCCAACCCCAAGGGCCCAAGTATCTAATAATCATATACCCTCCAAAATCCTCCCAAAACCGAGTACCTAATTATTGGGTCCTTTGGACCCTTAGGGTAATCTACGGTTGGTGATATACATCCTGCTTGACTTCAAGGGCCCTAAAAAAAGGGAATTATGGTATATTCCTTATTATGGGTCAAGCAGGATTTATATCATCAACAGACGAGGGGCGGCCTGGCAGAGTAACACTAAACTCGAACATTTGCTTCGGGCTCCTGGGGTCCGAAGTTGCTGCAAACTCCGGGCTGCCAGATTCTCAGTATACTACAACTTAAATCGTATTCCTACTATAGCTATAACGGTTTAGGGTTTAGGGTTATAAGGTATGTTCCGAAATCAAGGGATTTTGAAAGATCTGGGTGCAGGACATCCATAGCCCCGGCCCGATAGTGCTGAAGGGTTCCAAAGGTTGTCGGGGGTCACCGGGGTTCTACGGGCTAGGGCGGCTAGGGGTTCCGGGGCTTAGAGTCAACTTCATGGTTGAAGCGCCTTTCGGGACAAAAAGGAGTCCATGAATCTAGCATAAACCCAAGTTGGTCCAGCTGCCCTGCATGTATAGTAAGCTCCAAGAAGTTGGGAACCGGATTAAGGACGATTAGTGCTGCAACTTTTGGGCTATAGGGTTTGAGATTTCGGGTTTCGGGTTGAGGCCCATCGCCGAATCAAAGTGCTTTAGATCCCATCCCAATGCCCGGAGTGCACCCGTAAAGCCTGAACCCAGGACAAAAGGTGAATCCATAAACGCAGTGAGACAGGTTGGTTCCTTGGTATGTAAGGGTAGGGGCTTCTTGCAAAAGGCCCACTTAAGTTTTTGTGTGCTGATATTTGGGCACGTGGGGGCTAGGATGCCCAGTAGTACCCTTATTCCCTTTTTGTAGGCCTAGGTTCCTTATAAAGTTACCCAATACCAAAAAGAGAGGCCTTTTTATTCTTAGGTTACTGGGTATCCTAGTAGGGCTTGATAGTATTGATGGGGATCTATCAGGGCTCCTTTGAAGGGATCTATAAGGGCTCCTTTAAAGGGATCTGTAAGGGTTCCTTTAAAGGGATCTATTATAAGGGTTCCTTTAAAGGGATCTATAAGGGCTCCTTTAAAGGGATCTATAAGGGCTCCTTTAAAGGGGTATCCTAGGGTGAAGCCTTACCCGGAGCTGTCGGAACCCGACCCACGTGAGGTCCCGACCTGACGGACGAAAAGTCGCACCGACACGGTTTACTATGCCTGGTTGGGGTTTAGGGTTTACAGTAGAAGCCAGAAAGTTGGAATATCATTATCCTACCATTAATCCATATTCCAACTTTCTGGAGTTCCCTATAGGGTGGGGTTTATTAGGTAGGGCTTTGGGACATTTTATATTTCCCTGATTGGGCTTAAGAGGATCCTATTTACTAATATTTTTCAAAGGCCTCAAAAGCCTTACCTAGTTTATTATGCCTGGTTGTGGTTAAGTTTAGGGTTTAGGGTGGAAGTGCGGAGCCAGAGGGGAGTGAAGATTCATGGACCGATTCATCGAGGGTCTAGGTGAAGCTTGATGGGTACTGATACCGAGCCGAGTTTTCGTTGTTTTTCTGGCGTGTGCTCTCCAAGAGATTCCAGGAGGTACGTCCGTGAGAAGCTTTGGACATACGTGGCGCAGTAAAACTTTGGGGTGTTTTTTGGATAGTTTTTAGAACGTGTCGCCATCTGTTACATGAACGGGGACCCTGATTGTGGCACAGCAGGGTTTGCGGTCACTGTGGCCACGTGTGGATGGCGAGCCTGCCAAGTGGCCTCTTCGTTCCAACAGGGCTGCCGGAGTACGTCATGCAGCGGCAAGACTTCCATCCAGAATTCCTGAGTTACCGATGCCATTGAAGCTCAAGGTGTCGGGTCTTTTGGACAGGTTTTACACACTCACGGTCACCGGTGCGGATGATGATGTTGTTCTCAGGCAGAATTGGATACGACTTCACACGAGTCGTGGCAGTCTTCCTTACAGGGGGCCTCGTCGTCCTCGTCGGCATCATCGTCCCTGCAAAAGCCGCAAACCTCAAAAGTTAGAGCCGAAGCCTTGAACCCTAAGTTTAGGGGTTAGGGTAAAGGGTTCCACAGCCCAACTACTAAATGCTGAGCCTGAACTTTGTCACCTGCACCCCAACCCTGAAGCCTGCCCTAAATCCAAAGACTCCAAGTGGCTTTAATAGACAGAGGGAGCCTTATATGCGATTTAAGGTCTATTCCTTTCCTATAGGTTTCGGCTTTCGGGGAACCCTCTGACTCTAAATCCCCAATGCACCCTAAACCCGAAAAGCCTGAACCCTTATCGGAAAACATCGCAGGCACCATGAAGGCACCCGGAACCCTACAGCAGCTTGGAAAACCTATGCTAGGATGCCCAGTAGTACCCTTATTCCCTTGTTGTAGCCCTAGGTTCCTTAAAGAGTTACCCAATACCGGAAATGGAGCCCTTTTTATTCCTAGGTTACTGGGCATCCTAGTATAACGCTGGATTCCAAAAGCCCTGTAGGAATCATGTACAGCAACCTTACAGCAGGTTCCATAAACAAACGACACGCCCCCCACAGACCCTATGAGAAATCCTAAACCTGAAACCCTTAAAGGACACTGCTCGAAAGCCCTAAGCCCTAAACCCTCATACATAGAACCTGGACCGAAAACCATACCAACCCGACGCCCTTAGACGACCCTATTAAGCGAAAACCCTAAACCTAAACAGCACCTTACACCAGGCTGGAGACCCTCGTCCGGCGCCGCTTGGCGCGCGAGCGGATGCCCAGCTTTCGTCACACAGCAGTGGGCCAGCTCTTTAACACTGCCTTGAGCCACCACAACCGGTTGTTCTAAGAATCTTCAATGAAGTAGGATACAATCTTAATTCCGGAGTCCGAAGCCGTGAAGCCTAGAACCGCATCGTTTTCTTGTTGCTCTTTCTGCTGCAGTGGCTATCGCTTGTCGCCATTGATGTTGTCATCGTTTCTGCTGCTGTCGTGTCATTTGTTGTTGTACATTATGCAAGTTCTAACATATGCGTTGTGACTGGTGGCTCAACAGTAGTAGCAGAAGGACGAGGATGAGGTGGAGTAGCAGTAGTTGTGCAGTCACCATGGTTTTGGATCCTGCCTCGCACCGAAACAAACCATGAATCCTGAACACATAGATATCCAAACAAAGCCATAGCTTCTCATCTCTTATGCAAGCGATGACTCCTACACCCTCATCCCAAAACGTTTGGTTTCCCAGCTGAGCTCCGAAACTTTCGAACCCTGAGCGGAAACTGATATGTATACATATATATACATATGTGTATTACATGTGAATATATATATATATATATATATATATATATACATGTACATATATATATATATATATATATATGTATGTATATGTATATATTCGGCAGTGTATACACACACATATCTTTATATATATATATATATATATATATATATATATATACACACACATGTGTATGTATGTAGTATGTATGTATGAATGTATGTATGTATGTACGTATGTATGTGTGTATGTATGTAAATACAGATAATCGCCAGATTCCTTCTCCCCTGACATGACTTCCGCCCGAGATTCCTATATTGTAGACCCCTGATGAATTAAAACCCTCCCCCGCCAAACGACCGTAGCTACTATTCAGGAACTTAGCAGTTTCCGATAAGGAGGTTTGTTAAACGGCGAAGACCCGCATCAAACCCACGAGCCCTTTTCCCGAAACAAAAGCTTACACTAAACGCTACACCCGAAACCCTGCAAGACCCCACAAGCCCTAAACCCTATAAACTCTAAACCCTAAAAACCCCTAAACCCGAAACCTTGAAACCCTGCAAGACCCTAGAAACCCCCAAAAGGCCGGTGGAGATGGACCCGGGGCCGCACGGAATGTTCGTCTGGCCAAGGTGCTGGCTGCGGTATGTTTGGGCTTGGGTTTCTTGGGGATACTTACAAATGATTTTTCATCTTTAATTCTTATAATCAATAAGAAACAGCTTTAAAAGAAATGCTAGGGGTCTAAGTTCAGGATAGGTGTAGGGGTTTCGTGTTTTAGGGTGCGCTTTGAAGGTTCCAGAGTTTAGTTGAAGGCGAGTGGGGTTTGAGGTCTTTTGAGTTTCGGATTTAGGGGTGCTCTAGGTTTAGGAAAGTAACTTTGTCATAGTTGGGTCACATTTTAGATTTTATGGGTACTTAAGCCCAACAAGGAATAACAAACTTGATGTTTAATACTATCCCAACCATGAACTAGGCAACCCTAAACCCAAGGCATCGCAAGTAGATTCACTAGCAGCCACTGGCGTCCTCATCGTGATCCCCATCGTTACCACCACTACCACCACTACCACCACTACCACCACTACCACCACTACCACCACTACCACCACTACCACCACTACCACTACCACCACCATCATGTCGATAGCTCTACCTGACAATACTAACTGAGCGCAAAAGCCCTGAAGCCCGCACCCTGAACCCCATTTCCCAAACCTTCAGCGCCAATTCCTACCGAAGCCTCAGCCTCCAAAAGTTAGAATTCGAGCCCTAACCTATGCATGCCCAAACCCCAACCTCAAACTCTAAACCCTAATCCCTAACCCTAAATCCTACCCTAAACCCAAAGCCCCAACCAGAGTCCTGTGCCGCTTTCCGCAAAGCGGTTCTGATCGAAATCCCCACACTCCACAAGCTTGTCATGGAGCGCTTCTTCAAGCCTGTAAGCGCAGCAGTTCTCTTCGTGGCTGCTTGGCTTCAAACCCTAAACCCCAGACTCTAAAATCTAAGCTCTAAACCCTAAACCCTAAACTCGAAACCCTACACCCTAAACTCGAAACCCTAGACTCTAAACCCTAAGCCCTAGACTCCAAACCCTAAACCCTAGACTCGAAACCCTACACCCTAAACCCTAAACTCGAAACCCTAAGCCTAAACCCGAAGAGGCTTCTTGAAGTGTTGAGGGGCCTAGGGCCTTACAGAGATCAGAGTTGCTTGCTTGGGTTCACGACTGAAAGTTTGGCAACCCCACGCAGAATCTCCGAAGTTCGGAAACGCTTACAGACGAATTCGGACAGCTAGAAGCATTAATTGCGGATGACGATTTGCGACACCGGATGTTTTCTGTCATGCCGAAAATTCGCGACGTGATCGGGTTCCGGATAACTGTTCATCTTGCCGTCGCCATATCTTCAAGGCTGGTGTCAACCCGGAAGTTCTGAATCTTCGACCTTCTCTCCTTCCCAAGACATGTCTGCCAATGTTTGCAGCATTATGTTTGACACTGAACCCTAAACCCTAGGCCCGGAACACTGAGTGATAGATGGTTCTTTGGAGGTTTGAATGGGGGCAGACCCCCGGCATGGTATGGCTCTACACAGACCTGCAAAGACCGACTCCAAAACCCTCCACCCTAAAGTGTTTAGGGTTTCGTGTTCAGGGTTTGGGGGTTTGATTTAAAGAGTTTAGGGTTCAAGGTTTAGAGTTTAGGACCTACTCCAAGCCCACCGACCCTAACTAGGCCTAGGCTCAACCCCGAAAGTCTAACGCCTTCAAACCCTAAAGCCCTATGTCTTAAATACCCCAAACGCCAAATCCCGAACCGAAAAGCCGTAAAGGACCTAACTATATTGGTAGGTCTCTAAATTAAAGGTACCGTGTAGAATCCTTTTCATACAAATTCCTAGTAGTCGAGTAGGCAACCTTTAACCTTTTTTTGGGTAGTATAGTCCCTATATAATCCCTATATAGCCAAAAGGTTAACCTTAGTTCCCCATGATACCCGACAAGTGGGAAGTGCTGAAGTTGCAAGCCCGAAACCCCAAATCCTCAACCCAACCCCTGAGCCCAACACCCGGAAGCCCTTAATCGTAACATGAAGGCCTTATCCTTAAGCCGAAAACCGCCACACTCTATCTCCTGAAGGCCCTAATGAAGACGTAACTGCCTTCACCCTCTCCCCAAATCCTACACCCTAAGCCCGAAAAGCCCCAAACCCCTAAACGCCTTGAAAACCCTGAACACCCTAAAAGCCCTAAGCCCTCAAAACCCTACACCCTAAAAGCCCTAAGCCCTCAAAACCCTACACCCTAAAAGTTCTAGACAATATCTTGAGGTTGCTTTGCTGGGCTCTGGCCTTGCCAAGTGCACACAGCAGAGAGGAGGGACACTTCTAGTCCTAGCCGAGGCCCAGCGTGTGGGGTGCTAGGGTTTGAGGGGTTAGGGGTTTAGGGGGCTCCGGGTTCAGGGTTTAGGAGTTTAGGGTTACGGGTTTACGGTTTAGGGTTTCAGGGTTTTTTCGAGGGTAGAGTAGGGTATAATGTTGGGTTTTACAGATGGATCTCTCGGATTTTTGACATGTTTGAGGGTCGTGAGTGTTTTCAATGATTCATGGCCTTACTGTGGTCTTGCTGTACGTAGTTTGAGGGCGTTAGGGAAGCTCATGATCAGTGGTTGTTATGGTTGGTTTTTCGTTGCTTGGCTGTTTGAAGGCTTCTAAGGTAGTGGTGTAAATGCTGGGTTTTTCCTGCTTTGTGATGCGGGTTCTGGCTTTACATGTTTCGGCTCCAAACCCTACAGTGACATCCAGAAGGCTGGAGCCTGGGAGCATGATTTCGGCTAGGCGTTCCTTGTCTAGACCAAAATGAGGGTTTAGGGTTTAGGGTTCAAAAGCGATAAGGACATTGATCTTGGAGCTTTCTGGCACCTGAGCTCTAAACCCGAGCATTTTCTTCAGCGTGAGAAAGCAGAATTCGCACGTGACCTGAAGGGATGTGGAGCGCTGCTACGATTTGAGCATGTCCTCACGAATCCAGGCACATTCACGGACGTGGTGGAAGACCACCCCCCGCGCGAAAACCAAGCAGCTACTGTAACGACTTTCTGCGGGGTCTGAGGGCATGTGCAATCTGTGGGTGGGCCCCACCTTTTGCAAATCTGCATTCACCTGCCACACATGGACGGGCTGCATCCGCTAGTCATGCAAACAGCATTCGCCGTCTGATGTGAACCTAGGCTCCCACAGGCTCATGTGCCTTATTTTTGGCTCGGCTTGGCTTTGGTGCTACCGTGCGCTAGCTAGCCAACGCACCACCTGCCGGGCACATCCTAAACTTCCGAAACCCTAAGCCCTAGCCTGCAGGCAGGTGCCTTAAACCATATTAAGGACCGTCCGATAACTAAAAGTATAATCTGTCTCAATAAATTAATCGCCCTTGTAGCATCTTATGTCAGTTCAACAAACAAGTATTCACGGTTTAGGAGAAGAGGGTAACATTTAGTATCGATATCGCCTAAACTCCTGAGACCAGATTCCTATGTGCAGAACCACCACTCCAGTTTAGACATCCTTTTCTCAGCTTGCTGACATGCGCATGACAAAAAATACCTGAAAACCAGAAAAAGCTCGGGCAAACCCGAAACCCTAAACCCTAAACCTCCGGCCTTAAAAAAAAAACCGTCGGAGGCCTTTGTGTCTGGCTGCTTACTCTGCGCAGCGCTCGTCCACCTCCTGGCAGATGCAAGCAAGGAGTGAGGGTCCAGGGTTTGGGGGTGCAGGGGCTCGAGTCCCAGACCCCCGGGAGGATCCAAAAAGTAGATCCCTTAATGGGTTTCCTATAAAGTACCCTTAGTGGTATAGGGCCCCAAATTAGGGGATCTACTTTCTAGATCCTCCCGGGGGTCTGGGGTCACATGCTATGCAACATGTGTCGACTGCTCGGTGCTGTGGCCACCCGCCTAAAGCGGCGAAGCTACCCTCCTTTAGCTAAAGGTCGAGGTTTGGGTTTCAGGTCTTTAGGGCTTCACGCAACAGCAAGCTTTTGCAACGAACCGCAAGCATGTCTCGAGACTTTTTTGCCGACTGGTTGCGGCCGGTAGCAACTAAACCCTAAACTCTACCCTCCCCAGCCAGGGTGTCAAAGACGGTAAACAGCCAGTTTAAAGAAGCGCCGAAGCTGCAAACCCTAAACCCGCACACCCCTAAAGCCGAAAGATGTTCGGGGTTCATGGAGGGGCATACGACTTCAATGTCTAGGACCCAGAGTAGGCCCTTATTCCCTTTTTTAGGGTTCAGGTTCCCTTATAATCCCCTTTAAACCAAAAAGGGCATCCTTTTTATGCCTGGGTTACCCTTGGGTCTAGATGTGGGGCTTCTCTACAGATTAGGTGTGCCGCTTTTGGAAGTTCTTGCGAGAACAACCCTGTCTCGGGGCCAATATCTGTAAATGTACATGCCTCCTCGTTCCTGAGACTGTCAAATAGATTATGTGGAAGCAGTTCGTTTTGCTATCAATGTACACGAAGGTTTAGGTTTCGGAGGTTCAGGGTCCTTACGCCGTGAACCCAGAGTTTAAGATGCACCTGGAAATTGCAAGGATCTGGATGGACAAGGAGGTGGCGCTTCCAATTCATCACTCCTTTCTTCCTCCTTCTTGGCTGTAATTGAATAACACTTCGCGTGGTTTTAAAGTGCGTAACCCCATGCATATCTAATTTCAGATGAAAAACCCATCGGGGTTTTCGGGTTTGGCCGTCTTCCGGTGCAAAGCTCCGAGCTCTTTGTGCGTGTTTCGCATCCGACATGTCCCGCACCCGAAGTCCCTGACTCTGAAGACCCAGTTTGAACCGCTTGGGCTTAAACCCTTATATAAGTTTCAACGTCCTGCCAATAAAAGATCCTGAATCTCAAAAATGTCCTTAACCATTAAAGATCCGACCCAACATCAACACCCACTGGCAACGGCTTACTTGAAACACGTGAGGTGAGGATGGCGGCTATCCTTATGCTGAGCTGTATTGCGGCCTGGGAGCACTCTTTACGCATTTCCTGAACGGCGTCACTGAGCCTTGCCCGAGAACCCAAAATGTTGTTTTATAGGGTTCCTTTGGATTTCGGCTGCTTTTTGAAGAGCATACACATCAACCATATGAAAGAGACAGTTGCAATTTTCGGGATCCTTTTCGTTGTCGTCGTTTGGATCCTCTGGGTCGTCCTGGTCGTCGTCGTTGTCTGCGATGTCGCAGTCGTCAGCACGAGGAGGAGGAGGAGCAGCAGGAGGAACAGGAGGAGCACGAGCAGGAGGAGTAGGAGTAGGAGTGGGAGCAGGAGTGGTAGTAGTGGGAGTAGCCGTCGTGCCGTGGTAGTTAGCAGTGGTAGTAGTGGTAATATTGGTCGAACTGTTCGCATAGTTGTCGTGGTAATCGTAGCCGCAGTGGTCGCAGGAGTAGTGGTAGTGGTGGTAAGCAGTGGCAGAAATGGTGCTAGTAGTAGTAGCAGGAGGAGCAGCAGCAACCGTAGTAATAGCCGTAGAAATACCAGCTGTTGCTGTTGCTGTTGTTGCTGCCGCTGCTGCTGCCGCTGCTGCTGCTGCTGCTGCTGCTGCTGCTGCTGCTGCTGCTGTTGCTGTTGCTGTTGTTGTTGTTGCGATTGCTGTCGCCGTTGCTGTTGCCATTTGTGGTGTTGTTGTTGTTGTTGTTGTTGTTGTTGTTGTTGTTGTTGTTGTTGTTGTTGTTGTTGTTGTTGTTGTTGTTGTTGTTGTTGTTGTTGTTGTTGTTGTTGTTGTTGTTGTTGTTGTTGTTGTTGTTGTTGTTGTTGTTGTTGTTGTTGTTGTTGTTGTTGTTGTTGTTGTTGTTGTTGTTGTTGTTGTTGTTGTTGTTGTTGTTGTTGTTGTTGTTGTTGTTGTTGTTGTTGTTGTTGTTGTTGTTGTTGTTGTTGTTGTTGTTGTTGTTGTTGTTGTTGTTGTTGTTGTTGTTGTTGTTGTTGTTGTTGTTGTTGTTGTTGTTGTTGTTGTTGTTGTTGTTGTTGTTGTTGTTGTTGTTGTTGTTGTTGTTGTTGTTGTTGTTGTTGTTGTTGTTGTTGTTGTTGTTGTTGTTGTTGTTGTTGTTGTTGTTGTTGTTGTTGTTGTTGTTGTTGTTGTTGTTGTTGTTGTTGTTGTTGTTGTTGTTGTTGTTGTTGTTGTTGTTGTTGTTGTTGTTGTTGTTGTTGTTGTTGTTGTTGTTGTTGTTGTTGTTGTTGTTGTTGTTGTTGTTGTTGTTGTTGTTGTTGTTGTTGTTGTTGTTGTTGTTGTTGTTGTTGTTGTTGTTGTTGTTGTTGTTGTTGTTGTTGTTGTTGTTGTTGTTGTTGTTGTTGTTGTTGGTGTTGTTGTTGCCGTTGCTGTTGTGGTTGCTGTTGCTTTGCTGTTGCTTGTTGTTGTTGTTGTTGCTGCTGCTGCTGCTGCAGTTGTTCAACCGAGGAACCTCTGTGGGAGAAGTTTCAGGGCCAGAGCGATGGGGATTGCGCCTGTGAAGAGAGGCCGATTGAGGGCGTCGTCATAGAGGGGACATCTGTAAGCACTGCGCCCAGCAGCCCGCAGGCGAAGGAGACCGGACTCAGTTTAAAACTTGTTTACTGGTCTACATTTAGGGTTTAGGGCTCAATTCGAGTTTCGGGTTAAGGGCAATCAAAAGGGTAAGGGCAATCAAAAGGGTAGCAAAGGTTTGTTTTGTGTGTTTTGGACTCAAGTGAGAACCCCGCAAAACCTGTTGAAGGAGCAGGAGTCACCACGAGTGGCGGTGGGACCTGTTCTGATGGCGGCCCTCTCCATACACTCCCTGCTGGAAGGCCTGACCTACCCACTGTCGACCTAGCTTTGATTTGAGTTTGGTGCCTACGATTGCGAGAGTGTGGCCATTAGGGTTGAGAGTTTGCTGCAGGGTTTAGGGTTTAGGACGGGTGTTCAGGGGTGAGGGTTGAGGGTTTGGAGTGTAGGGGGTGTAGCAGTAGCAGTTAGGCTTTCGGGTTTAGGGGTTGGGCCCGAAGCCCTACAACCCGACACTTCTCAACTACTCTCTATTATCGCTACCAACCAAAAGGGCTGCATTAAAGGGTGCCCTGAACGCTACACTCTAGAACCCAACCCCTATATATACACCCTAAAACAAAATTCCTGAACCCAAATCCCTAAACCGAAAACCCAAAACTCTAAACCCACACTCCCAGACCGAAAATTTTGGCCAGGTCTGAGTCTGGGAGCTGCCGGAGCGAAGGCTTCATGCGGTTGATGATATAAATCCTGCATTACCTTAAGGACCCTAGAAACTATGGGAATTATGGAATATATTCCTTATTATGGGTAATGCAGGATTTATGTCATCAACAGTGGGACCTCCTTCTTCCTAGGGTTTTTGGAAGTTGTAGGGGTTTAGGGCGTTTGGGGTTTTAGGGTTTTTGTGTTCTTGCGTTTGGGGTTTCGGGTTTCCGGGGTTTCGGGTTTCGGGGTTTTTGGGATTCTAGTGGTTTTAGGGTTTAAGGGGCTTTAGGGGTTTAAGGGGTTTTAGGGGTTTTAGTTCAAAGAGGCTGCTGTAAGGGTTCAAAAAAGGGGCCTTAATTCATAGATCGAGTAGGAAAATGGCCTAAAACCCTGTTCCAATCATCAAGGGCGCCTGTTTTCAACCCATAGAGTTATATATATATATATATATATATATATATATATAGAGTACAGCATGCCAGAGCTCTACTAGAGTACACCCTAAACCCCAAACCCTAAACCCCTAAACCTAAAGAACCTGCAGGCTGCATGGGGGCTCTTCCTAGCGATCCTCTTCCACAAGGGCATCACGGCCTTTGCGCTGGGAGTCGCTTGGTTAAGGTCACTCCCCGACTGGCGCATCTTCCTTGTGGCTACTGGGCTCTTGTTAAGGAGGACCAAAAGGATTGGGGATTAGGGCCTAGGGTTTAGCGTTTAGGGGCTGCCATAACAGTGGGGATATATGGCTTAGGTTTAGGGGTTGAGGGTCTAGGAACTAGGTGCTGCCTCAACATTTTATGATAATTAAGATATATGGTAAATGACAGGGTGTCCTTATTACGGTAATTTCAATGAGCCCAGGCTATGTTCTGCTTTTCTGTAGCCACTCCCATCGGAGTTCTTATCGGTGAGAGTGTGGAAGGAAGCAAGGTGGGAGCTGTGCTGCAGGCCTTGGCTGCAGGAACTTTCCTTTACATCGGACTGACAGAAACGGCTCCTGGGGTAATGAAGCCCTGGCTGAAGGGGGTTTGGTGCGGCTTGCAGATGATTTGCACCCTGCTTGGATTTGGAGCTTTCGCCCTCCTGGCGGTCTGGTGCTGATGGGTTTGCCCTCACATTTAGTTCGTTGCTGAGAATGTTTGCGGAGCATGCCAGGAAAGGTACGACAAGGTGCCTTCTTGCTGCCTACGTCGGCGAAATGAGGGGTGGCTGTCCTGAGACTATTGTCCGCCGTGCTGCAAGCTGCAAGTTTGCATGCTTCCAGTCCAGGCATCTGTAGATAGGCTTGTTCTGAATCATGGTTCGTCTATATAGAGGTCTGAATAGAGTAACTTTTCGTGACAGTACCCCCATATAGATGCCATATGACCGTGTTATAAGTGTGACAATGTACCCCAAGACCTTATTCTGCTGATTCAGGCCCCGGCATTAGCGGAGCGTCCGCTCTGGATGTTGGGTATCCCTGGCTCGCGAGTGACTCACATGCAGTCACCAGCATTCTGCCGCAACCGAACCGATGTTCGCGCAGGGCTGGCTTTTTGCGCTGCTCTTTGCTGATGGCCCTCATCGGAGCATGTACAGACGGGCTACCAGCTGCCAGACTTTCTGAGTCACAACGAGTGAAATGTGTACAGACATCAGTCTCCGCAGTTTCCCCAAGTACCCGGCACAGTACTGTTGTTTCCCCGCTATCTTCATATGCAACACATGTAAAGGTAAATGAATGCATGAAAAGGAACTGCATATTCATGCTGCTGCATAATTATATTGCTACATGAGTGAGACGATAACATTCGAGCAACAAGTTGCTAACATTTACCCTCACCTAAACCCTAAACCCTATAAACCCTAAACTTGAACGCTTAAGCCTGAACCCCGAACCCGCTTGCACCGGCCGGTCCCCGGTACGCCGCGTGCGAAACCATTGACATGGGCGGTGAACCGCGGAAAAGACCCACCAGCTCAGAGGTTTAGGGCAGTTCAGGGGTTTTGGGCCTAAAGGGAATTCCAGAAAGTTGGAATATGGTTTCAGGGTAGGATACCTTATAACTTACCATAAAGGGTTTAGGATAATCATATTCCAACTTTCTGGCTTTTACTATAGGCTTTAGGGTTTACAGGGGCCTGGTGGTTCGTCAATAAAGCCAAGACCCAAGCACCAAAGCCTACCCCGAAACACCACCCGATACCCGAAACCCCGAGAAAGATACAGTTCAAATCATAATGTGGGAACCTGATTAAGAAACCTTGGGCCTTCATTAGGGGTCCTTATATGAGCCCTGCTACAGTATTTTCGGGTTATAGGCCCAGGGTTTCTGAATCAGGTTCCTGAAATAGGCTCCAAAGCTGAGGATGCACTCCGCTTGCAGTTGCTACCAGTTTTCAGTGATTTCTTTATATATAAGTCCTTAAAGCTGTAGGTTCTTCGGGGTTAAGCTAGGCTATCAAGCTATGTATGTATGTATGTATGTATGTATGTATGTATGTATGTATGTATGTATGTATGTATGTATATGTATATGTATATGTCTGTGTATGTATGTATGTATGATGCATGCATGTATGTATGTATGTATGCACATATACTATTATATGTATATGTCGTGTATATATATATATATATATAATTAATATGTTGCATAGTTTTATATAAAATAATGTGTTTTAATATAAGGTAATAGAACATATATATGTAGTAAAATATGTTTATTTTTGCATATGAGCTACTCACACTGGAAGCGGAAGTCTTCAATCCTAGGCCCAGGGCCGAGTTCCAGCATCGGTGCAGGGTTCCAGCTGTTTTTTCAGGTTTTGAGGTTTAGGTTTTAGGAGTTTAGGGTTTAGGTTTTACAGTAGGAGTTTAGGGTTTAGGAGTTGAGGGTTTAGGGTGTAAGGCTTTAGGAGTTTAGGGTTTAGGGTTGACTGAGGCCTAGATCCGAAAATCGCAAGGCCCAAGCCCCGACTTCCTAACCCTAAACCCCAAACTCCAAGCCTTGAGCCCCGGAGCCCTAAGCCCTAAACCCGGATCCCTGGCCCTGCAGAGGTGATGCTGGAAGAGGCCGTCAGCCGACAAACGGATCGTGTGTGGGCCAAGGCTGCGCTGAGCTTTTAGGGCCCAGGTCTTTTGGGGTTTAGGGTTTAGGATTTAGGGTTTAGGGTTTGGGGTTTCGGGTTTGGGGTTTAGGGTTTAGGGTTTGGGGGGGGCAGGTCTCATGGGGTTCGTACGAGGGGTTCAGGGCCTTGGGGTTTGCGGATTTCAGGGTTTAAGGGTTGAGATATGCATACACAGGGCCTTCATGTGTTTCGGGTTTAAGCATTTGGCCTTTTGAAGACTTGGGGACAAGGCCGCGAGGTCTCATGGCATGGGGTTCAGCATTTACATCTTCGGGTTCCTTCAAGATTGCAGGAACCAAATAGAGAACACTCGTATGCGTCGTGATCAGGTTCCTACCTCAGTAAGGAACTTTCATGAGGAACCTCAACTTCAGTTGAGGCATACCTTAGCCTACCAAACCTTACTTTTTTTGTAGGTTCTTACTATAAACCTTAATATGGAATTTAGAGGGACCCTACAAAAAAGTAGGTTTTGGTAGGCTGAGGTATCTATTATCCGATAGTAGGGAACTGTGAACTTCAGAAGGTCTGGTACCAGCGCAAAGCCCCGCCCCCCTCCACCACTCCCTAAACCCTAAACCCTAAACCCTAAACCCTCCTAAGCCCCGAAGCCTCCAATCGTTGAACCTCCTCAGCCCGAGATCCTGAACCCAGAATCCTAAAGAAGCTTAGAGTTGAGGGTTCAGGGTTTATTAAAGATAGGAGTTTAGGGTTTAGGGTTTATTAGGGTTAAGGGTTTAGGGTTTATTCGGGTTAAGGGTTTAGGGTGTATTAGGGTGTAGGGTTTAGGGTTTAGGCTTTATCTTCAAGATCCTCAATCCTGAACCCGGACCCTTAGTTAGCCTTAGGTTTGAATCCTACTTGCAGGTTCAGGGGTAGTTACAAGTGGGACTATACGTCCCCCAATATGGGTTATAAGTATACTTATCCTACATATATATCAGTACCCCTAACCTCCAAGTAGGCCCTAAACCCTATACCCTTATAGAATCCGTATAGATCCCTTTAAAGGGACCTGTAGAACTACCTTATAACCCTACTTATATAAGTACCCAAGTAAGCCTCGGCTAATCGAGAAGCCTTTGCCTTGGCCACCTACTTGGAGGGTCTTTAGGGGACTTAGTAAGGGCTCCTTTAAAGGGGATTCTAAGGGTTCCTTTAAAGGGGATTCTAAGGGTTTTTAAAGGGCTCTATAGGGGTAGTATAGGGTTTAGGGTTTAGGGGTTCAGGGACTTAGTAAGTAGGTAGTAAGTAGACTTATAAGTACCCTAAAAGGGACCCTAATTGGGGTTATGGTACTTATAAGTCCCTAAAATAACCAGTTACTAAGTCCCCCGACCCTCCAAGTACCTGAACCTACCAAAACCTACTTTTTTGTCGGGTCCCTACACATTCCATGGTAAGGCTTATACTAAGAACCTGCAAAAAAGTAGGGTTTGGTAGGTTAAGCTAGAGTTTAGAAGCTGCCTCCACCATGTAATAGTGACTATAAGGATTATATTAGGGCCCTAAGATAATCCTTATAGTCACTATTACAGGGTGGAGGCAGCTTCTAAGGTAGAGTGTCAACCTTCCGAGAGTTTGAGGCTCACGGATTTACCTTGACCCCAAAGAACCTACCGTTTCAAAGGACCTCTATAATCAAAGCATAATGGGGAACCCTAAAAAGGTTGGTTCTTGAGGGTCCAGGTAGATTCCTTAGCCCTAATCGCTAAACCATCCGACCCCTGGAGTGACCCTGCAGCAAAATTACTGTGCAGGCGCTGGGCGCGGATCCACAATCACCCTTAGGGTCAAGGTGGTTGAATGTAAAGGCTTGAACAATTACTACTTATCAGCATCCCCTTATAGTCCCCTTTCAATTACACCATCACATACCCTGCAACCCTATTCAAATCACTCAGGCCCGTATAATGGGGACGGAAGGAATCGGGTGGTGTCTTGAATGCGGAAACTCCTGAACCTAATCCCCTAAATTCCCAAATCTTGCGATTTCGCAGGGCACCTTGTCAGAAGCGGGCCTCACAGCTCTCATGGAGGAGGACTTGTGAACCCAGGATTCCGACCCTAAGGGTCCATGTGCCAAGTATTTATATATTCTCCCATACACTGACCTTCAAAACTGCTATCCAAACCCCAAGCATCTGATTATTAGGTCCTCTGGACCCTGACTAAAAAGCCCGACGGGGCTTTTTCATGAACTGGGAGTTTCCGAAAATTAGGGGTACCTCATTTCGGGGTCCTTATAATAAGGATCCCACTATTTGGGGTACCATATTAGGATCCCGTATTTTCGGAAACTCCCAACTGATCTTGATCCGGAAAAGCCACCATAAAGCCTGGTCGTGTTCAGGTCCCTCAATAACTTGATAGTAGAGGAATCTGAAGAAGTGCCAAATCAAACTCCATTATAGTCGCTGTGTCCCTGTAGTTAGTACACCCAAGACCCCATTCTAGTCATCGAGGACCCTAAATCGAACCCAGAACAGCCCTGAAAGGCGTTCACGGGAACCCTTAAAGGAAGCCCCTTCTAATTGATGTCAGCCCTTATGTGTCTCCGGTTTCCGCGGCAGCTCGTGAGGATTTCGTTGATAAAAACAAGGAGATGGACGAAGCCGCCAAGGTTGGTTTAGGGTTTGGGCTAAATCTAGGGCTACTAGAAGCAACAGTGGTCGCTATGGGGGTTCCCCTTCAAGGTGTCTCCAAGGGGTTTCCATCAGAGTGGCTGTAAGGGCTTATTTTGGGGGTTTACAGTCTACATACGGGGAGAGATTTAGGAGTATTCTCTCTTGCTGGTTCCTTTAGGGGTTCCCTGAAGCATTCTACAAAGGGTTCAGGCAACTTGGGGCTTGGGGTTTGTAGCAAGGCCGAGGCTTTAGATTCATTCGTTATGGGTCATAAGTTCATTGTGCATGATGTCAGCAGGCCGCCAACCCGGATGTGTTGGCTCATTGCGCAAAAGCTAGGGGCGGCACGGATTCCTGCTGAAGTTTGAGCCTGCACGGGAGACAAAACGATGTTTCTGGATGACGAGCAAGTTCAACAAAAACCTAAACCCTAAAACCCTACAAGCCCTAAGCCACCACCGAGAATAAGAACCCGAAACTCTAAACCCCACAACCCTAAACCCTAACCCCGTTCAAAGACAACAGCCCGGTCCTCGCGGATTTCCTGGCAAAGCTGAGCAGTCGGCGCAACAACCGGTGGAGTTTCATTACCCAGAAACTCCAATATCCCTTACTTAAGGAATAGTCCTTAAATCATATTAGGGATCCCACTATAATTTATTCCTTAATTTAGGGATATTGGAGTCTCTGGGGAGTTCGGAGCGTGAACTTGCTGGACTTCGCGGCAAAGCCATCATTGTGGCCGCTGCTTCTGAGAAGGAGCTGCGCAAGAAGTACAAGGTTTGCTATGGGAGCCTCAATGATTACCAATACTATGTTGGGGGTTCCTTATTATGCTTATAGTATAACGTACCCCCAAACCCAGGCCTGTATATTAGTCAGATCAATATGACTATAAAGCATGTAACTACATCTGTTTTACTTGCATGTATACATTGTTTAGGATGCTTTGAAGAGCGACGCAACGTAGAGAATGCTGGGTGTGGGGCCTGTAGGGGTTTAGGGAATTAGAGTTGTGGTCCAGGGTTTATTTCCCATTTTCGGGGTTCAGACTTCAGCGTTGGGGCTTAAACGGTTGCTGGTTTAACGTCCCAACACCTCACAACCCTAAGCCTTAAACTCTAAAACCCAAGAACAAAGCATCAAAAACGCTAAACCCTAACCCTAAACCCCAAACTGGAGACCTAAGCCCCGAATGAGGCTCCGGAAGTCAGGGCCGAGAAGACCGTTAACTACGATCCCAAAACCTAAACCCTAAATCCCAGAGTCTGAATCTAAACCCCAAACCCTAACCGTAAATCCTATAGACGGAATCCTAAAGGTCGTAAACCCAAATCCCAACTCAAAGCCCTGGACATGGAGTGTTCAACATTCTGATTTTTCAAGTCGGTAGGATCGGGTGAATCGTGCTCTATGTACACAGTCTATGCATCTTTGCTCTCGTGGGGCCTTTCAATTCGAAGTCCGGGAGAGCGTCTAGAGTCCAAGACAAACCCTTCAATCTAATCCCAGAGTCGGAGCCCTTAGCCCTAAGCACTAAATTGCTTCTCCTTGAGGGGTCTGAGTAAATCTCGCAATTTGTAATACCATCCCGATAAAGTCCTTATATATGGTTGCAGTAATTATCGTACTCCAAAAAACCCTACTCCATAAAAGACACGCCTCCTGGCTTACCAGAATCCTTATTGAGGCTGCCTTAGAGCGTTTGGATGGCATCGTCGGATTGAAGCCGGTGAAAGAGCCCCTCGGCTTGGGAAGACCTCATTGGGCTAAGGGGGGGATTTTCGAGTCTGGGCTTACTGCAAGAAGCCGCACGGACGATCCGGAAGCACCATGACTTGCGGGTCTAAAACTTACGAGCTATGTTGGCCTTCTTGAGCTTGCCAGTGAGCTCGCCTGGTTGCTGACCACACTGACCCTAGATGAAGTGATCCGAAGCCCCGAAACCTTTAAATCCTAAACCCTAAGCCCAAGAACCCTAAGTGCTAAACCTTAAACCCCGAAACCCCTAAGCACAAACCCCTAAACCCCGAAACCATAAACCCTTGATTGCAGATTCGAGGCAAGGAGCTGGCTGCGTCCTCATGATGCTTGCAATTGACTCAGAAGCCCCCTTAAGACGAATCTTACTGCTGATGGACAAAATCCTGCATTACCCAGTATAGGTAATATGCCGTAGTTCCCATAGTTCAGAGTCCTTAGGGTCATGCAGGATTTTGTCCATGAACAGAATTGACTCAGAAGCCTCCATAAAACGAGTCTTATCTTGGGCCCTCCCATTCAGAGAACCACAAGGCCGAATCAACACTACAGGAAGCCTAGGATGCCCAGCAGTACCCTTATTCCCTTGTTGTAGTCCTAGGTTCCTTATAAAGTTACCCAATACCAAAAAGAGAGGCCTTTTTTTTCTTATAGGTTACTGGGTAAAGCCCTAAACCCTAAACCCTAAACCGTGGGCGGACAAGCCCGTAACAGAGCTCTCATGATTCCTAGAGTATGATACGGGGCAGCTCAGTGGTCGAGGTGGATTGGAACTTAAACCCTAAACCCTAAATGGGAGTTTCCGAAAATAGGGGGTACCCTTTTTGGAGGGTCCTTATAATAAGGATCCTACTATTTAGGGTACCATATCTGGATCCCCCATGTTCGGAAAACCCCACACTGACAGACACAAATTCTCATGCCCCAAGAACCTGAAATCCACGCTCTTCGCTTCAATTCCCATTTTGCTCCGGCTGCAGGGTTGGTGTAGGGTCTAAATATTGATTTAAGTTTAATTAAAACCTATATATATCTATATCTATATATATATATATTAATAAACAATAATAACAAATAATAGTAATAAAATATCAAAAGTAATAATAGTAACAATAATAACAATAATAACAATAATAACAGTAATAACAGTAATAACAATAATACTAATTCACTCCAATCCTTTTTCGGGCTCGTCCGCTCCCTAAACCTCCACACCCTAAACCCCTAAACCCTCGTTTTTGAGGTTCGTCCGCTCCCTCTACGCCACGCTCCTCATGGAGCAGCGGCGCCGGGAGATGGGAATGGAAGCGCCAGGCGCCGGATTCGATCCTCCGAGCGAGATTTTCTCTAAGTTTGCGTGCCCGGGTGTCTACAAGGATTACTATTAAGGGTCCAGTTGGCATATACTACAAGGGGTTTAGGGCTTTTAGGGTTTAGGGGTTTGGGGGGTATAGGGCCGAAATAACCTCTGTTATTTTGGGGGTTTCCTTATTGTAATTATAGTATAGTCGGCCGCTCAAACCCTTTTCTAGTTATCTGGGCCCCTATATTACAGTGGTTGATGCTGTTGGAGTTTGCTGCAGGGCGCCTTTGGTGTATTTTGCGACATTATAGAACCATTTAAGGACTCCTCGGTACTATTAAACCCGAAACCCCAAGTTCATAAAGCCCAACACCCTAAACCCTGAGCCGTGATTCCTACCCTGAACTTCTTCAACTTCAAGTCTGACTCCCTTCTCCCTACTTAAAGTCTTAAAGTTAGGCACGAAAAGACAAGCAGACGGTAGTAAGACCGTGAAGAGTAAGGCTTACGGTTCCCAATATGGGAGTTTCCGAAAATAGGGGTACCTTATATTTAGGGGTCCTTATAATAACGATCCTATTCTTTGGGGTACTATATTTGGGGCCCCTATTTTCGGAAATCCCCATACCGGAAGAGTAACAGGTAGGGTCAACGGTTGCGGGTTTAGGGTTACGGTTTATGCTTTAACTTCGAGGATCCTAATTTCGACGGACCCTCAACAAAGGACCCCCTGATGCTTCGAAACCCCCACAGCCACATGCAGCCATGTGCGCAAGCCCGAAACACGACCCTCAAGCTCCACAACCTCAGGCCTCAACCCCTAAACCATCGAACCCCCAAACCCATGAAACCCTGAAACCCTAAATACACCCTAAACCCTAAAACCCTAAAGAAACCCTAAAACCCTAAGTAAACCCTAAACCCTAAACAAACCCTAAAGGAACCCTCAACCCTAAATGGGGCAGGCGGAAGTCCGACCTTGCATATGGTCTTCCAAGGCCTAGCCGTGGGGATATGCGGGGTGGGAGTCCTGTGTGTGGCTCTTAAGGAATTAGGGTAAACCCATAAAGTTGGAAACCTAATTAAGGCCGAATAGTGCTGGGACTCCCTATACAGTACATTAGTCTTAAGGATTGAGGCTATTGGGTTTCCAACTTTTTGGCTTCTACTGTAGGGTATAGGGGTTTTACGACTGTTTGCATAGGGGTTTGCTTGGAGGATCAGGGGACTTTCCAACTAGGTTTATAAATACGGCAACTATAGTTATACTTACTTATCACTCCGGTTAGGGTACTTATAGCCCACCTTACTAAGCGCCATGAACCTGCAAGTAGGGTCCTTGGGGACCCTCGGGGTGCTTATATTCCGCAGCCTACCACTTTGGGCTGCATTGCAGTTTCTCGTTTCCTGGAGCCACCAACGAGCAGGAAAGAGAGCGACCATGAAGGTAATGATCCCAATGTTCGGAAACTCCCGTATCAGGGTTTAATGTAGGAGCCTGATGAAGAAACCCTGGGCTTATAACCCCCCAATATATAAGGAACCCTATTCAAGGCCCAAGGTTGCCTAATCAGGCTCCTCTATTATTATAGTACACTTAGAGATCCCTTATAGTAACCCTTATAGACCCCTTTAAAGGAACCCGTAGGCCCAAGGTTCCATTCTTAATCAGGCTCCTACATTATGACATGACCTATGAAGACCATGTCGCCAGTCAAGATGATGAGGTGAAGCCTGACGATGAGAGCCAACCATGAACTAGAAACTCAGGGGTGCTTAGAATATTTTTTCATCTTTGGCTTTTATAATCCGGAAGAAACAGCTAACATCAGCATAAGTTCCTTTATTTTCTACGAATATAATGCCCTAAATTCGCCCCTGAGGTCAGGAGGCCCTGGGCTGAACCAGCGGTTACCCAATCAAAGCTAAGCCCCCGCAAGCACCTAAACCCTAAACTCCGAGCCGCTAGAACCCTAAACTCCTAGACCGTAAACCTTAAAACCCGAAAAATCTAAACCGTAAACCCCAAAACTCTGAACCCTAAAGCCTAAAACCCTGAACCCTAAAACCCCGAACCATGAATCCTTAAACCCTTAACCCTAAACCTTCACTACAAACCGCCGAGATCCACACAGGCATGGCCCACGAACGGCGTAAGAGGGAGATTCGAAACACTACTAGGGTTTAGTGTTTGGGGTTTAAGGGGTTTAAGGGGTTTTAGGGTTTGGGGTTTAGGGTTTAGGGCCTAATCAGGGTTTAGAGTTTAGAGTTTGGGGTCTAAGGGGTTTTAGGGTTTGGGGTTTTAGGATTTTAGGGTTTAGGAATCTGCCGGGGCACCGTTCATAGGAGGCCTTAAAGCAACAGCTGAGGTTGGCAAGCATGTCCCCTCGTAGTTATTGTTTAGTGGTGCTTGGAGGTTCATGGGTACTTCTAAGTAGGGTTATAAGTAGGGTAACTATACTTATAACCCATATTAGGGGCCACTTATAACTACCCCTGCACCTCCAAGTACGTAGATAAGCCATATTTTCCAAAAAGAGCATGGAACATCCTGAGGCCAGAGCGGTTTATTCAGGCGCTCATATTGCAGATTCTCGTGGATCCCTCCAGGAACCCTTGACAAGGTGTTCTGAAACCCTATTCGCAAAGCTAGAAAATGTTATAGAACTCTTATAGTTCTAGAACCCTCACAAGAACCGAGAAGTTTTCAGACCTTAAGCCCTAAACCCTTAAACCCGTGTGCGAGATGCTGTGGACGAGCTTTTGGCTGCCAAGGGCATGGGCCTTTTGAGCCAATGGAAAGCTGTGCTGGCAGTTCTGGAAGAGAACGGCTTGGCATGGAAGCAGATCCTTGAACCATCATGCATGCTCGTGCACCCTTCGAACCGCATTGGCCTGGGGGTCAACGGGCATGCTGCACATGCTAAAGGAGCGAGCCTTTTTCAGACCGGGTTCGACGGCAAGTTCTTGCACAGTAGCACATGCTGCTGGCTCGCATGTCAGGGGAGGTGTTGAAGATTGCAACCTTAATCCGTAGCCTTGAACCCCTTATCCAGGGGGTGAAGTTCAAATCCACCCTTGATTAGTCCCAGGCTTTGAATTGGGTTTGGATGCCAAAGTTCGCGAGCAGCAGATCTCCTTCAACAACCAAATCCCTGCTAAAACCCTAAACCCCAAACTCTAAACCCTAATTAGGCCCTAAACCCCAAACCCTAAACCCCCAAACCCCAAAACCCCAAACCCAAAACCCTAAGCCCAAAACCCTAAACCCCTTAAGCCCGAAACACTAAACCCTAGTAGTGGTTCAGGCAACCCTGGCACGGGAAAGACTACGGTGGCTCGGGTCGTTGCAGACCTTCTCAAGGCCAGCCTAGGGCTTGAAGGTATTAGGGTTAGGGTTTGGGGACACTGTTCCGCTCAGGGGCTCTAGGGGTACTTTAAGGGTTTAGTACGGGGGCCTGACTTTAGGGTCTTAGGATTAGGGGATTTGGGGTTTGGGGGTTTAGGGTTCAGGGTTTTGGGCGTGTTGGGTGAAGCTTTCGAGGGCTTTTGCCTTTTAATGGTTTGTAGTACCTAGACCCCAAAAGTAGGTAAAATAATGGCCCAAAACCTATAAGAGGCTCTTATTCCACATACTTTGAGGGTCCAGGTAGGGCCTTTAGGATCTAACTAAGGTTATAATTAAGGTAACCCCAATTAGGGTACTTGGTGACGGTGCTTGCTTGTGCGAGCGAGGCCCGAAACTCGAGATTCCAGGCGGCACCGAGACACACTGTTGATGATACATGGTGTAGGGGTTCTTTTAAGGGATCTATAGGGTTCCTTTAAAAGGGATCTATAAGGGTACCTTTAAGGGGATCTATAGGGTTTAGGGTTTAGGGTGATGATATAAATCCTGCACTACCTTAAGGACCCTAAGTTAGGGAATTATGAGCTATTCTTTAATATGGGTAATGCAGGATTTTATATCATCAACCGTATGTCTCGGTGGAGAGCGCGGCGGTCAAGTTCACAAGGTTTCGATTCGTTTGCCCTGCAGATCATGGCACTTGCGGTACTAGACCCCATCCGCTTCGCCATGACGGGAACTGGCGCCTAGCCGCGAGAGATCTGAAGAATCCAAAACTCTCCGGAAGATCTTGCATGATCTCACGGCCACAAATCGATTCACGCAGTGCGCAGAGTTGGGGACGACCTTGCAACGGCAGAGCCTGGTCTGGGTTTAGGGTTATCTTCGACCCCCCAACTAAACCCCCAAAAGTAGGTCAAATAATGGCCCGAAACCTATAAAAGGCTCTTATTCCACATATTTTGAGGGTCCAGGTAACCTGTAAAAGACTTGGAGGGGGGTTAGCGCTTGCTGAGAGGACTCGATCCCAGCCAACCCTTCAACTTGGAGCCTGTTTGCCGGATCAGACCTTCACGGAACCCCTGTCCTATGCCATAAAGATCCCTGAAAGCCTCGCTATAGAGCTCTTAGATTTTAGGCTTTTAGGGTTTATGGTTTGTTCTATACCTTACCCCCAAATAACTCACCTTTCTAAGGATTTACAACTCTTGTAGAAACCCAGCGACCCTTTTCTTGTGGCCCCCACTTCCCCGCTTACTGAGAAGCATCTGAGGGATCTTTGAGGGCACTCCAGGGCTCCCTTCAAGGGGGTACTTACAGGCTTCCCGGAAGGGTACTGTAGGGTTCCCTTTAAAGGGTAGTGTACTTGGGGGTCCTGGACAGCCTAAACCTTTAAACCCCTTAACCCCTGAACCCGAAACCCTAAACCCCTAAACCCTAAACCACTTAACCCTGAACCCGAAACCCTAAACCCTAAACCCCTTAACCCCTGAACCCGAAACCCTAAACCCCTGAACCCGAAACCCTAAACCCCCTTAACCCCTGAACCCTACACCCCTAAACCCCTAAACCCCTTAAAGCCTTGGGCCCAGGCGCTGGGTCTTTTAAGAACCGGACATCTTGTCGAAGCAGATCGGGCTGCGCTTGTCGCAGGCGAGGTTTGAGGGGCGGGGGGGGGTGGGGTTGAGGAGGCTCAGGGTTTGAGGGCTAGGGGTTTAAGGGTTTAGGAGTAAGGGTTTAGGGTTTGAGGGTTTAGGGGTTTAGGAGTGAGTGTTTAAGGGTTAAAGGCTTAGGGTTTGAGGGTTTAGAGTTTAAGGGTTTAGGGGTTTAGGGGTTAGGGGTTCGAAATGCTTACAGCAAGGAGGTCGTCAGGAATCCCAAATTCCTATTCTAGTCATCGCAGGCCCCGATGCTGTAGCCAGCAGAAACCCTAAGCCTTAAGCCCTAAACTCCAGCTAGCGGGTTTGAAGTTCGGAGCCTTTATCCCGAAACCCCAAGTTTTTTTGTTTGGCTAGTGGAACGGTTCCCAGTCATGTTTTTGCTTTGGTCGCGACAGCCACCCAACCCAAAACTCTGATCCCTCACAAGCGGCCCTCATAGCTCCCAACGCAGAACCCTTATGAAGACCCCCCACTGAGGGTTCTGACAGAGCTCTTGTAGATCCATCCTTTCTAGATCCCTTATTCAAGCCCCCTCCTACGGATCCCTATGGAACCATACTGGTTTCGTTTTTACCCGCGTACCTTTCTTAAGGAACTTGTATCAGGAAATCGCGATAAGGAAGCCCTCAAAGGTTGTTTTGTTTCATAGGGAGTTAGGTAGGGTTAAGATATCATGACAAGCAACCCCATAAAGGTCTGCTACTGTTCAGGGTTCAGGTAGGGTTTCGGGTTCCTTAAAACCAAACCCTAACCTCCAAAACCCAAAAAACCACCGTGCAGGCTTCAGCGGCCAGACGGCACTGAAGACCAAAGCCGTGGTCGAGTCGGATTCTGCCTCAGAGCTGGCTCTTAAGGTTCTACCGAGTAGTAGAGTAGGTAACCTTTACCCTTTTTTGGTAGTATAGTCCCTATATCTATATAATCCCTATGGAACCAAAAAGGGTTAAGCTTTAGTTCCCCATGATAACCCGACAAGTAGGTTCTATACAAGGGGTCTGAGTCAACCTTAAACTCTATAAACCATAGGCCAAGAAGCACTTCATCAGAAAGGCCTGGACCTCGCCTTTCGGGTTTAAGGTTTAAGAGGCTTAAGGTTGAGGGTTTAAGCCTAGGCTCTAGATGGATTCAGGGGTTCGGGCTCCACGGTTTAGCAACACGCAGGGTTTAGGGTTGTGAAATTTCCCTGTCTTGAAGCGCCGTGTTGACCTGTCCTCATGCGAGCGTAGTCTTTTGAGTTAGATCTGAATGCACCCTGTACGACAGACGTCTTGGGCTCAGACCAAAAAGTGCGCTCGTAGTGTGGTTGGACACTCACTAATCCAGTTCCTGCTTCAAACTGGTAGCGGAGCTGTGAGGACAACCACTAGTGTTTCACCCCCGTAGAGCCTGTGGTCCGGGGTCCGTTGGGTAGAGTAGTGATAGTCGCGGCGCAAAGGCCCTTTCTATCTGAAGCCATGAGCGTGGCAGGTTTGCGTTACCAGCCCAATCTCTGGTCACAGAACCTGAGCCCTGCAGAAACGAAAAGCGGTTCGTACATATACGACGGTACGGCTGCTGGCTTCCACGATTGGTGCTTCCGGACACAGATCCGTGTGCTGCAACATAAGGAGAAGCAGCGGCGTGAAGCTCTTAAGGACCTGCGATTTGCCGAGTCGGCAAGGGCCAAGAGCGAGTCACCAAGGAAGTGGCGTGGCAGGGCAAGTCAGGGGACCAGTGCATCGCCCACAGATGGTGATGGAAGCAGCGGTATACCCGCCAGTCCGTCCAGCGCAAAACGGACTAAGCCCGCGTCCGAGGCAGAAGATGAGGATGCGGAGTCGTTGCCGTCGCACCCCAGCCAAGTGGCGGGCGACGATGAGCAGGAGCCGGACACAGATCCGGCGGTGTACACCTTGCAAGACATTAAGGACGAGTCGCTTGATATGAGCGAATGCGTTAGCAAGATTTTGGAGGGTCTCCGAGGAGACGCCTTTTGCATTGCTCGCGACGTCGGCCTGGAACGTCTGCTTCGCCATGATGGCGTCGACTACCTGATAGAAGAAATCAGGAGGCAAGCTTTCCCTCTTCAATCTGAAGAGGCGTCCGAACTTTTCCGTCAGGGACAGCTCCTGACGGGCCCACTTGCAAAGCAACCCGGCGAGCCTATGTTGTCTTACATAGCCCGCCGAAAGCGGTGGTGGTCGACCTTGCGTGAGCTAGATCCTGATATCCGCCTTTCTGAAGCTATGAGGGCTAACCTCCTTGTTGAGCTTTCAGGGTTGGAAAGGAACGAACAGCTAATGGTCAAGACCGCCGCCCGCGTACACACCGTGGATGAGTACGCACGCGTCCTTGTTCAGCATCACTCAGTGGTGCACATGAAGGAACGTCTTCTTACCCAGAAGGACCCTAGTGGCCCAGGTAAGACCTGGAGACGTTTCGACGCTAAGCCACAATACCCTAAGTTTGGTTACATGGGGTATGATGGTAGTGCCGCAGAGTATGGTCACCAGGAACAGCAGGAATCCGCGGAAGGCTACGGTGACGGCTACGGCGAAGAAGCATACCAGGCCACAGCGTCTGGGGGAGATGATGCGGATGAATGGATTGATGATGAAGACCTAGCATTGCAACTCAACGCCTATACGGCAGTGGCATATGAAGCTGAGATTGACGATTTGGATGATTCCTATGCCGAGTCAGTTCAGCTTGCGTACGCGGCACAGACCGCCTTTGCCCAGGCGAAAGGAAAAGGAAAAGGGAAGAACAAGGGCAAGTCCTCCGGAAAATCCGGAGGGAAGGTCGTGCGTAGCAATTTGACTATTGCTGATCGTAAGGCCAAGTTGGCAGAGCTTAAGGCAAAGAGTAGGTGCCTGAAGTGCGGTGTGATCGGTCATTGGGCCGGAGATGCTGCCTGCAAGTTTAGCGGTAAGGGCAATGGCCCCAAGGGCACCACAACCCCAGCACAGTCTGGGGGAACTGCCAACGCAGCCGCAAAGCCGGCGGCGCCGAAGCCCCAGGCGTATTTCGCCGCAGTGGAGGAGGATGACACAGAGTGTGTCCATCTGTCGAATGCGAGCGCTGGTAGGCTCGAGGGTTACCCAGCCAACCTTGAGCTGACTCCCTCAAAGACCAATACCGGCAAAGGCCGCGGCAATGAAACCCTCTTCTCACCACAGCTTCGGCGCACAGCCGCCGCTAGGATCATGCGTGACAGCCCGCCTGAGGGTTCCGATCGCGTTTTCTCCTTTGGTCAGCATAAGGGTCTGACTTATGAGCGTGTCTTGTATACGTTTCCTGGGTATGTTCTTTGGGGACGCACGCAGAAGTGCCCATCCATAAATTTGGCCGATTTCTTGGATTGGGTCACGGAGTACTTTGATGTGCGTGATGACAACCCCATTAGCATCACGAGAAGGGATGTTCCTCTCAGCCAGGAGCCCCCGCCTGAACCCTTTCAGCCCGAGGTTCGCCTCGCCGCGTCAGCTGCTTCGCCCAGCGAAGGCCCCCGGAAATGCCGGGGAGGTTGCAAGGAGTTCAACAAGTCGGGGAGTAACGCATACATAGACATGCGGACCTGTAAGAAATGCGGCACCGTCACCAAGACGAAGAAAGAGAAGCCTGTCATAGACCAGGCCACATGCCCCCACACCTCCACCGAGAGGTCGGGTAGCAGTAGGAAGACCTCCCGCATTAAGTGCAAGCTTTGTGGGATGCTTCTAGATGAGCAGCCGCAGACCGAGCGAAAGGCTAGGGATGACGCAGCCACAGTGCTGCGGGAGTCCAACACCCTGGACTTCGATCTTCTGCGCAGCATAGTCGGCAGCACGGGGGATAGCCTCCCCGTAGAGGTAGTAGTTCCGGCTATTGCCCAGTTTCAAGAGACCATAGAGGGTCACTTCGTAACCGAGCCCGTGATATCTCGCGGTGACCTTCTCGCATATCTGCAAGAGGCCTTAGATGATCACTCTGCGCCATCGACCAACAACAGTTGGGAAGTGGCGTCGGCGAGATCGCGCTCCTCGAGGGCCTCCGCGACGAGGCACGCCTTCGTGGCTTTCACTGAGGGGGTCACAGATATCCATCCGGCTTTGGTTGATTTGCCCGTAGTAAATATCTACGAGGATAAGCACGTATACGCCGTGTTGGATGAGGGCTGTAACTCGACTGTTCACGGTAGCGATTGGATAGCAAACGCGGCGGGGAAACTTGCGAACTTCGGTTACAGCACGAGGTTTAAACCTGAGGGCAATCGTACCTTCAAGGGTCTTAGCGGTGCTACCGAAACCCTGGGTAGCAGGACCATACCTTTCTCTATAATGGGATTGGAGCAGGACTTGAGAGTTCCGGGCGTCCTTGATTCTCACGAGATTAAGGGTACAGCCCCTCTCCTTTTGTCCCTTTATGCCCAGGCCCAACTTGGTATAACCAAGGATCTTCGGTTTGGCGAGTGTGGTGTTCGACTTCCTTCTGAGGATAGCATCATTAGGATCAAGCTGTGTCGGACACATGACTCAGGGCTGTTATGCATAAACATAACAGAAGGTTTGATTCAGGTGAAACAACCCCGTCTCATAAGGAGCTTCCAAATCCCCTCACCGCCAGTTCCTATATTTAGGTCTGCCGCCGCCGCCGCCTTAGCTCACTCAGAGTCTGTGAGCACCCCTCGAGATGCAACAGCGGCAGATGACGCAGTGGCAACAAGTCGCAGTCACAGTACTGTAGATGCAGGCCATGGTCATAGCACTGTAGGCGTAGGCCACGGTCACAGCTTCACAACGGCAGCTGAGAATCGCAACAACACTAAGCGACGTATAAGCGTAGCGTTCCCGAATCATTGCATGGTAGGCACGTCCGTAGGAGACACGGAGCCCGCCGCGATGGCCGCAGAGGAGGGGCAGCTGCCCCCGACGGCAAAGGCTGCACCGAAGATTTCAGCAGCGCCGGAGCCTGGCCACAGTGCCATGGCGACCTCGCCTGCGGTCGGCCACAGTGCCGTACCGGTGATCACACCTGCCTTCCCCGCGCATGCGCCCAAGGCACCGCCTGGAGGAAGCGGCTTGCCGAAGAAGGCGCCTCCCACAGAGAAGGCAAGGCCTGGGGATAGCCCAGGGATACCGCCAGCAGCCCGTGCCACAGTGCATCCGAAGGAGATCGCACGAGGGCACCGTGAGCTGGCCGAGTTCGATGCGGTTGTGAAGAAGGACCCGCACAATAGGCCCCTGGTTATAATGGCAGGTGGTGGACCCCATGGTCCGGAGCTCGACACTCCTCTTCCAGCATCCGTGTATAATCCGGATTTGGCCTTGCTGCCGTACTATGCGGGGGACACAGCGAACCCGGACATCATCATTGATGTTTTTACCTGGGGCTATGAGCACCATGCCTGGCTGCAACGCGTCAGAGGGAAGTGGACGGCGGCCGAGCTCTTCGCACAGCACGAAGAGATGGAAACGCATGCGATCACGACGTATGCGAGTGCCACTAGCTATATGCTAGTGATGTTGGACATGGTGTGGCTTAAGGACGATCGGAAAGACGATCTGACGCCTGCAGAAGCCCAACAGCGGAACGACGAACAGCGCGACCGCACAAAGCATGTTGGGTCGAATCCCGATATAATTCGGGAGCACGCGGACCACCCTAACCTGATCGCCCACGTCAGGCACATCGTGGCGAACGTCCTTGACGCTAAGGACGCTGGGATTCGGTCCATTGCCGTGCATGTGGTTTGCAAAGCCAACAGACATAGATCTGTTGCGGCGGGCATCCTTGCCCATGCAACGCTTTTGGAGCTCGTGCCAGACTGCTCCGTCAGCCTCACTCACATGAGTGCAGCGAATAGTTG